CCCCAAAACCCCAAAACCCCAAAACCCCAAAACCCCAAAACCCCTTCATTTTTCGAAATTATTAATTTAAATGTTATTTCCAAAACCTGAAGGCTATATTCTACCTAATCCAGATTCCATAAAGGTGGGGCCTGGACCTGAAGAGTCAAAGTATGTAGCGAATCCGACAAAAGGATTATCTGGGGATCCGTCCAAACCTCCTAGAAAGCAGTATACGCTCATGAAGCAAACTCCGTTACCAGTTGACCAGCCAAAATTTCTTCGGCCTTCTTTATCAGTTGAAGATATCCATGGGGCCAAATCTCGAAGATTGTATAGAGGAACTGCTAAAAATATACTTGATATCAAAGATATAGACGGTTCTAAGCCAAAGAAGCCAAGAGAAAGAGACACCAAGGAGTATAACGCCATGGATTACTCTGATGTCAGTGCTAAATAGAGGCATGAAGATAACAACACCAGAAATGAGTATTACCAAGCCCAAGCCGAACTTCTACAATAGAGATCCTGGTCAAAGCACTAGGCGGGCGACTAAAGAATGGGCTCAAGATAATCTATACTTGTTTCAAAAAGATCAAGAGTCTCAATTTCAGCTTTCACAAAGGTCTCCGTATGCTAACACTGGTGAGGCTAGACAGAAAACTTACATGGCTAAAGAGCTTGAAGGAGGGTTCCCTGATTATTATGGAGAAGGATTTAACAGACAGAATGAACAGTAAGTCTCATCCTTATGCCTTTAGAGAAAATCAATTCAATCCCTCAGTTAATCCTGAAGAGAAATATATGAAGCCATTTCAGAGTCGATCAACGGCTTCTTTAAATCAAGTAAATCACGATGGAATGGTAAATTTTACCCAAGATCCTTATCAAGACTCTGTAAATCCAAAGACATTTAGAGGCCCTCAGCCAGGTTTAAAAATGACTGATGAGAATAGATCTGGAGTATACCAGCCTCCTCATGATAGTAAGAAATTTTAGCTCATTTTTTTTAGTAAATTCTGGATCTGAAAGGTTTACGACACTGAACAATCCTCATACAATAAACAAGGGTGCTTACAATGCACCTAATAATAACCCTCGTTCTTTTCAGAGCTTAAGACATATCATAGGGTAGATTACAGGGCTGATAACAATAAGTTCAATATTTTAATATTCGAAGGGGTTTTGGGGTTTTGGGGTTTTGGGGTTTTGGGG